CATATGGTACTGAATAACTATTTGGTGACGACTCGAGCGTGGAATTTTGACAAAATGTTGTTTTATTGGTGACAAAAAATTTCGTCACTGAAGTAATTTCATTGGTGACGAAATTATTTTTTGTCACGGTGGTTTTTAGTGACAAACATTCAATGACGAAACCGGTGACGAAAATATTTCCTCACAAATATCTATAGTGACGAAATTAGTTCTTTGGAGACAAAAAAAATTCGTCATCCAAGACCTAATTTGTTGTAGTGATGGGTGGAATTGGGATGCATACAGAGAATGCACAAAATTTACTCCTCTTATATTCTGACATGTTTTTCTCTCTGTCCCCCTGTCTGTCTCTCTCTCTATATATAGGTACACCTATTGAACATTGGATTTGTTAAACAAGATGGTAGAGGTTGCAACAACTAAACTGGTAAAGTGTTTCACCTTTCTAGTGCATCATATGACTTCATATATGAGTACTGGTAGCACAATACAAATGTCAAAATATCACCTTTTTTCTCAACCTGCTGTTTATGCTCACTCTTTATTCTCTTGCTTTTTATTTACATACATACATGCCTAATTATGTGTGTAGGGTCAGTCATTTGGTGGAACTAATGATTCCTAGAAATCTAGATTTGATTTGGTAGACTTTGTAGGGGATTTATCTGTTGAGAAGGACACAAATAGGTATGATTCTTCGCTATGGCAATGCAAACACAAAATTATGGATTTTTGTCCTTCGGTCACTAATCATCTGGCGCCAAAAGTATTTGCTTATATATACATATATAAATTATGTAATGGGGAGAAAGTAGGCAGGTTCTTCACATCCTGAGGATAAATGCTATGTGGATTGTGGACGTAATGTATTGTAGTTATTTGTTTGTTTGTTGTTAACCAAATAGTATATTAATGTTTGTTTGTTTGTTGTTATCCAAAGTGCATATTAATTGAAGGTTGAACCATGTGGTGCTGTGATACATTGAAGAATAATCTAGAACTTCACCAATTCGTACCTTATTAGTTTGAAAAGTCTGGAATCTGATAGAGTATTATGTATGTTGATTACATCGTCTTGAGTTTGGAAAGAATATCACGTATCATGTATCTTGTATGTTGAATCAGAAATAGTAAACTACTGGTGATGTAGATTTGTGTTTATTTTTGACCCATCTTTTGTGGATTGTGTTCCCTTTGTTGTTTCTACCTCTAATTTACTGAATTTGAGCATTAGCATAAAGCTCTTGTATTCAATTAATCAGTATCCTTATGGTGTATTTTGAAAAACATAAAAATAAGAAGAAAAAATGCATATTATTGTTATTTTTCAGTTTTATTACATATTACGGGTATTTTTTTTTAGTTAAAACTCATAGAAGTAGTACAATTTCACAAAAAAAAAAAAAATGAAGCTATAACGGTGTTTTTCAAAATGCCACTATAGTATAGTGCCACCCGATATATTTTTTAAATAGAAAAAAACTATTACGGCGCTTTTAAAACATCGCAAAATACCGGCATAACGTCATTTTATGATTATGTAACACATTTAGCAAACGCCGCCTATACTAATCTAATGACGCTTTAAAGTGCCATAAAGATACAGCGACGGCCGTGTCTTCGACGTTTAGTACTAAACGTCGCAAAAATAATTAGCGATGTTTTTGATAATTATAGCAGCGTTTTTTAAACGCCTCTAAAAGTCAGATTTCCAGCAGTGATGGACCATAGAACTAAAAGGCCTGACGGTTGTTGTTGTGTGTTCGACATTTAGCACAAGTTGTTCATGATTTATTGGGTGGGTTTCAGTCTTCTTTGGTTAGTCATGTGTTTTGGGAAGGTAATTTAGTGGCCTCATTGTTTGAGTTGACTAGCATTTGAGAGTGTTGGTCTGCGAACTTGGATGGAGGATGTTCTACCTGAGATTGCTCCTTTGATTTCGGCTGAAGCCTCTACTTCTTAATACAATCCTTAACCCTTCTAAAAAATAATAAATAAATAAATAAACAACTATTTATAACTTTTTGAAAATGAAAACACAAACTAAAAGAGTTTATATTTATAGTTTTCTAAATAATTTTATAAATGCAAATAAAAAATTAGGACAAATTCATCGATAGGCCTTGTATTTTATTTTTTGTGTCATTTTGATTCCTATACTTTTCAATTAGCTTAATTTTGATCCTTAATTTTAGATTTTTTTTTTTTTGTCAATTTGGTTTAATTGATAACGCCGTTAGTGTTTTTGATGAAAAATTATCACTAAATTAGTTGAAGTTAATTTACTGAGTTGAACAAATTTATAATTTGGCCTTGAAAAGCATGATATGTCACTTACGTGCATATTTTTATGAAAAATGTTAGGGACCCCAAATGTTTTACTAAATATTCTATCAAATGTCTAGAATATTTAGTAAAACATTTGGGGTCTTTAGCATTACTCTATTTTTATTTTTAAAAAAAAATGTTAACAATTGTAAGCAATTGAATTAAATTGAGACAAAATCATAAATTTATGGTCAAAATCGAGCCAACTGAAATTATAGAGACTAAAATGACATAAAAACCAAAATACATCAACTATCAGCGTAATTTGCCTAATTTATTACTAATATGAATGTTACCAAAAATAATGTTGGGGACCCCAAATTAATTACCAAACATTCTACACAATATTGATATGAGTGTGGGACTCACATTATGTGAGACCTACAGCTATGAAAGTATGGGAGCAGCTCTCCTCAAGACTCAATCTTCTTCATAACTATCAAGATTTTATTTTGTGGGTCGTGTGTGACACCACAGCGGTGATCCAAACCGTTTATCATTTATCTCGAAGTGAAGAATATATATGCAAAAAAATAATTTAATTGGATATCGATAAACATATTACTTATTGTATTTTATTTTATAAAATAAACGATTTTAGTTTCAAATCATATAGATTGTTTTGGGAAGTAAGTTAGAAGTTCAACTTTTTAATTTTTTTTGACTTTTTTGAAAAAATATATAAAAAAAGTAGAGATAATATGACTAAAAATAAGTTAAAAACTAAAAAATAACTTTTAACCTTTTACTCATTAGTTTCATAAAATAAAACACGATTAGTTAATGTGTCTACTGATTTTCGATCAAACTGATTTTTTTGCATATATAATTTTCTCTTCAAAACTTACTGAATGAATGTTTCAAATCACTGCCGTGGGACGCCACAAGGCTCACACAATGGACACTTGAGGGTTAAGGATAAAATGAAGTTGTGATGGGTGTTACTTCTTGTAAATATTGTGTAAAATTTAATAATTAATTTAAAATTTCTAATATTTTTAATAACGAAATATGTCACATTTATTTTTGTATTTTTAAATTAGTGAATAAACTAATTTTGACAGCAAATGTTTGAGTAACAAATCCAACAAATGCAACGGCCAATTTCCCTCTTTGTGCCGTTTTGAACATTTTAGTCCCACTTTAGGGTGTGTTTTTATCTTTATTCTCAAAGTAGGGTAAAACGGTTTTTGTAATGCCGTTTTCCAGAAAACGGTTTTTAAAAAACCGTATTCATCGATTAAAATAATAATAAAATTTGAAAATAGAAACGGCTTTTCTAAAGCCGTTTTTCATTAAGTTTTTAATTAGTTCTGATTTAATCAAAAACGGTTTTCGTGAAACCGTTTTCCCATTAATTTTTTTTTAATTTATATTTTCAACATAAATAATTTTTGTTCAAAATTTCAAAGTGTTTACAAAACCCACCCAGGAGTGGGAATAAATATTTTATGTTTTAAATATTTATTTATTTTTGTAATGTGCACTATATTTTGTTGAAAAACGGCTTTTCTAAAACGATTTTTCTAAAACCGTTTTTTATTAAAAAATATTTTTGGTCATAACATATTTATTTAAAAAAAATTAATGTAAAAACGGCTTTTCTAAAACCGGTTTTCATTAAAAAAAAATTTTGAACAAAAAATATTTATGTTGAAAATATAAATAAAAAAAAATTTATGTTGAAACCGGCTTTTCTAAAACCGGTTTTCATTAAAAAAAAATTTTGAACAAAAAATATTTATGTTGAAAATATTGATTTTCAATTGTTTTTATTGAATTCTTTTTTTCATATTTTAGTTAAACTTTTTTAATTTTTAGATGGAACTAAAAA